TGAGTGTCCCGGACTAGGAAGCAATAGATTTCTTGCTTCTGCCACAAATTCCCCCAGCTGTGAGCCTTCCAACCTTCTAAGTATTCCTTTATATATGGTTCAGAGTTCTGGGACCATCACCTGAGCCTGCTTGTTCGGGTATTCTGTGTTGTTGTTGGCGGAGCTCTCTGCTATACGTACACCCAATCCGCCATCTTGTTTGTTCTCCCTGGCCTTGTTTTTACTGATGATATTGAGCTTTTCCATCGTCTCTTTCCGCAGATGTAGTCAAGTTGATTTCTATGTAATCCATCTGGTGAGGTCCATGTGTATAGTTGTCTCTTATGCTGTCAAAAGAAGATATTTGAAATGAACAAATCATTGATTTTTCAGAATCTATCATGCATTTTCCAGCATCATTTCTATCACCAAGGCCATATTTTCCAAGTACTGATCCTTCCTCTTTGCTCCCAACTTTTGTATTCCAATCAACAGTAATGATCAATTTATCTTTATTGCATGTTTGGTCAATTTCAGATTGAAGAATTTGGTAGAATTCTTCTATTTCATCCTCTCTGGCTTTAGTTGTTGGTGCATAAATTTGAATAATAGTGATTTTAACCTGGCTTCCCAGTAGGTACATGGATATTATCTTATCACAGACAGAGCTGTACCTCATGACTAATCTGGATATGTTCTTTTTGACAAAGAATGCAACGCTATTCCTCTTTAAATTGTCATTTCCATGATAGTAAACCTTGTGGCCACAGATTCAAAATGGCCAGTATCAGTCCATTTCAGCTCACTACTACCGAAAATATTGATGTTTATGTGTTCCATTTCTTTTTTGACAACCTCCAATTTTCCCAGAGTCATTCTTTGTGCATTCCATATTTCGATTTTCAATGGATGTTTACAAATGTTTCTCTTCATTTTGAGTTGTGCCCCAACAGCAATTGAAGGTCCCATATGCTTTCCACCCACAGGTTTTACTCCATACGTGTCATCACGGTCAAGTCTACTTTGAGGAGGCAACTCTTTCCCAGTCTCATTTTGAGTGCCTTCCAACCTAAGGGGTTTATTTTCTGCCACTATATCTGGCAGTGTTTCTCTGCTATTCATAAGGTTTTTAGTGACTATATATTCAGAAATAGTTCATCACTCCTTCTTCCAAATCTGTCTTTGTCTGGAAGCTCATCTAAAATCTGTTCACCATGGGTTACCCTGCTGGCTTTTAAAATACCGATGGCATAGCTTTTAGAATCACAGCAACTCAGAAGCCTCCACAGTATGACAAACTGACAGATGAGTACAATTCCTCTACTTGGTATTTACACACAAAAAATATGAGCCATAACATGATTAGATATATGCACTCTTATGTTCATAGCAGCACTATTTACAATAGCAAAAAATGGAGACATCTTAAATGGCTATCAATGGAAAAATGTATAAACAAACTGTGGTACATAGACACAATGGAGTATTATGCTACCTTGAGGAATAACAAGGAAGCTGCAAGCCATTGCATAACATGGATGAACATTGGTGGCATTATTCTGAGTGAAATGATTTAGTCACAAATTGAGAAGTACTTCATAGAACCGTTGTTGTAAAAGACTAAAAAAAAGAAACCACACACAAAAAGGGGGGGGGGATTATTTGCTGGTTACAAGTATATATGGAATTGGATGAGGGGAGGGAGGGAAAGATGGAGCACAGTGTAGGGATAGACACAGGATAGCTTGAATGCTGGGGGAGGGAGGTATCCAAAAAGAGGAAGAGGAATGGAAGAACACAGTTGATGGGAGAACAGTTAGGGATGTGTAAATGGGCCAAGTGCGACAAAGGTAAATAATGAAGTATACATAACCTTGTAACATCAGGGCTCTGGGACACAAGGGTTAAGGCATGTTGGAATGGGTAAAAGAGGGGAAATTATGTTAATATGCTTGACTGTCTTTTGATTTTTAGTTTCCTTTGCCTACCATTTAAAAATAGATATTTGAGGAGAGAAAG